ATAGGTAGGTAGCAAAGTAGATAGACAGATGATAGGTGGACAGATAGAAAGCATAGATGTTTTATCTTGAGATGGGATCTTGCTATGTGTCACCTGATAGCCTTGAACCCTCATTCCTCCTGCCTCTACCCGAGTGCTTAGATGCAAGTGTGTGCCACCTTCTCCTGAGAGCTCATTTTACACAGGCGACCCAGGCAATCCTGAGCCTTCCCCTGATACCCTTATCTAATCCTTACTCACCAAGCTAATACTCCCCTTCTGTAGAGCTTCATTGGCCAGATATGAGGCAGGCTGACTAAAGCTTGGTATGTAGTTTAGGATGACCTTAAACTTCTGATCCTCCTGCCTCTGCCTCTCTAGTGCTGGGATTACAGGAGTGAGCTACCACACTTGGTTTACATTGTGTGGGGATTGAACCCAGAGCCTCCTGTGTGCAAAGATCTACCAGTTGACCTACAAACCCAGACACAACACGGGAATTCCAATGAGGCCATGAAGCCTGTCAAGAGGAAATCTATGTGCGATGAGGGGACACAGGCCAGTAATCTCAGCAACTGGGAGGAAGAAGCAGGAGAGTTGAAAGATTGAAGCTAGCTTGGGCTATGTAGTAAGTTCTGGAGAAGCCTGGGCTACATATGGAGACCCTATCTCTAACCAATAAAACAACTATTTGTATCACCCATATGTACCCAGAATAACATTGGATCAAATATCGAGGCACTCAGTGAGCCATATTCAAGATGGCCACACTGTCCTTGCCTTGTTTGTTCAGGAGCAGTAACCACTATCAACCACAGGTACCGGGAACCCTGGAAGAGACCCTGTGACCCTCCTTCAGTGCTGAGCATGCTGGGTACACTGTTACCACTCCTCAGCTGGAGAGGGAGAGAATGTGCATCCCAGCTGCCTACCTCAGCACACATGACAGACTTCACCAGTCCCGCCTGAAAAGGTATTTAGTTTGCCTTTTTACAACGTGCCAATTGCAAGTTAATTAACTGGCAATTGAGAGTTACAAGCAGCATTAGAATTTATTAATAACATTGGAAGTAAATCTCCCTGGGAATTCAGTTAATTGAAAAGCTCGTGAAATTCTCCATAAAGCAGGTCTGTGAGAGCATGGGGGTTGTTGGAGCTGCAGGTGCTGGCTCTCTGAGGGGTGGGTTGGGGCTCGCGTTCTGACTGAGGCTGCTTTGGGAAACTTTTGCATCTCTCTGCCCACTGCCTTAAGGGGTCTGGACAGGAGGTGATCTCATTGCCATATAGGTGTCAGTGTTCTGACACAGTGCTGCACCCAGGTACTCTGGGTGCTGACGACAGGGACGTGTTCCTGCACCTGGGCACCCACAGTTGAAAGGCTGAGCTATGGGGTGGGTTTTGGATTCAGTGTGTCACAGGTTTGGCTGGGGGGCTGCACCTTTACTGCCCCGTGGCTGGGGCCCAGTGCTGGAGTGTTTCCTCTCCTGCCCCCTCCATGGTTTGGGGGACAGCTGAGAAGAGACAGGGCTGCACAGAGAAACCTTGTCTCGAAAAACCAAACCAAACCAAATCAAACCAACAAAAAATCCATATGCTTCTGTAGCTTTTTGCCTGGGTAAAGGAACACAAGAGTGACCATTCTCCACTCTGCAGCTCCCAGATCCCTGTCAACATTCGGCTTCAAATGCATGCTTTTCCCTAGTCCCAGTACTGAGTGTTCCTGGGCCAGCTGGGTCCAGGACCATGCATGTAGAGGAGACTCACACACCCACTGGGCCTGGGAACAGGACTCCTGCTTAAGGAGCTAGACGCATATCCATCACCCTGCAAAGGCAGTAGAAGTCTCCAACTGTCTGTCTCTTGGTCCCTCTTCTACCATATTTAGCTTTTGTTCCAGACTACGAAGTGGTTCAGAGTCCCTGTCTTCTACATCACCTGGACATTTGATGTCCGTCTTCTCTACTGTATTTGAACTCTGGGTGGATGTCAACTCTGGTTCGGAGAGAACCAGCAAGCTCCTGGTGGTACGAAGGTCTACAGTGATCCACAGACATTCTGAACTCCACCCTGATCTAGGGGCCTTGCTTCTTGAGTACTTGGGTTTCTCTAGAGTTCTGAGGAGGAATTAATTTATCTTTGAGCCATTCCTGAACAGGAGCAGGAGACAGGGTTAGGGGGCGTTTAAAGTGCCCTGGTACGCGATGTGAGTTGTCTCCTAAACCATAACCAGGATAACTTTACCTTAGAGCAAACCACCTATAGCTTTTCCATATCCCAGAATGCCACAAAACACCAAGCCATCTCTCCCATGACTAGACACTGCGTGCCAAGGCCAGCAGACTCCTTGAAAGGGCAAACACAGACTCCGTATTAATGTATAGCATTCCCAGAGTCTGAGTTTTTATTTTATTATTACTTATCGTTATTGTGTGTATGATGTATTGCAGGATGCACAAGTCACCCTGCGCATGTGTGAGTTGAAGTTGTCAATGGGCGACTGTGGAGTTGATTCTCTCTTTTCACATTTATGCGGGTCCCAGGGACCGAACTTAGGTCCCTGAGCTTGTGCAGCAAGATCCTCTCTCACCAGCACCCACCCCCATGTCTGGTTAGCTGTGCCTTTCATTGTCTGAGCCTGTAGTCACCTCAACCCCGCTTTGGCACAAAGCGCATCCTGTACTAGAGCTTGTAGGAAACCCTGTGAAATTGGAGCCTGGTGGGTGGGTGCATGATTGACACCTATGAAGGAGGAAATGGAGCTGTCTGTATTTTTCCCTTCGTGAATTCATCAAATACGTCAAGATGAGATTGTCTGAATCACTCTTTAGGCTGTTGAGCTGTCCCAGTTGGGAAGTGGGTGTTAATTATAACCCTCCCCCAAGCCACGCAACACCTGACATCCCTCAGTTTAACTCTCTGCCTTGTTCTCCCATGGTGATGCATTCCATTAATCCCAGCACCCAGGAGGCAGTGGTAGATGGATGTCTGTGAGTTCAAAGCCAGTCTGATCTACAGAGTGAGATTCTGGTCAGCCAGGTCTTCATAGTGAAACCCTGTCTCAGAAAACAAAAACAAAGCTATAGATCTCTGCCTAGCAGGGCTGGAGGCCCAGCTTAGTTCAAATCCAGCCTTGCTGGAAAGAGTGGGCAACCACTCCTTGTTAAAATTGGCTATCTTGTTTTCATGCATGTGTACACATTTGTGTCTGAGTGTTGTGTATGTGCACATGTGTGTGGAGAACTGCAGAGGCCAGAAGAGGGCCCTGGATACCCTGGAGCTGCAGTTTCAGATGGTTGTGATCTGCCCAACATGGGTGCCACACATGGACCTTGGACCCTCTTGAAGAACAGAAAACCTTCTGAACTGTGAACCATCTCTCCAGCCCCTTCTTAAACCATAGATGCATCTATTCATTTGTGTGGAGGAGTGCACATGTATAGGTCAGAGGACAACTTGCAGAACTTGGTTCTCTCCTGCTACATGCATGGGTCCTGGGGACTGCACTTGCCACCAGGCTTGGTGGCAATTGATTTTACCTGCCGAGCCCATCTCAACTACTCAGAGCAGGCCACTTCTGAGGGGTACCTTCCCTCTGCTGGCTGCTTTCTTGGGTTCTCCTGTCTCAGAAACCTTGAAGTAATCCCGAAGCTGGACAGAGGTGTTCATCAGTTCTCTAGCATGAATTAGCCAGGCGCAGGCCCAGCCTCCCCCACAGCTGCCAAGTCACAGAAGGGCCACAGTGGGGAGAGCACCTTTATTTGAAATAACATCACAGGTCTCAGATCACCTCTTGGTAGAGACAGCTGGGAATAGTCAACAGGGCCCAGGGGGACAAGGTCACAGCCTTGTGTAAGCACCAAGAGCTTTAGGGATGGTCACTCTGCCAGGCAGGGAGACATACCCAAGGGTGGTACCAGGCCTTTCCGCTCTCTGAGTGTAAGGGTTGTGGCCCGGCGAGAGGAGGACCAGGGTAGGTGGGTCATAAGAGGCCAAGCACCAGCCAGAGAGGCTCTCAAAGCTGTGGACCAGCTCTGCTGTGGACTCCAGCCACAAGGTGTGGGGGCATGGCCTCCAGCAAGCCTAGGACACAGGCAGTTTGATTCTACATCAAGGGGACATGGACTTGTGTTGTTGTCCCATCAAAGCCGAAGGATCTAGAGATTTCCACAAAAGACTGACAATGATGGAAGGTGTAGGTCCTACCCTGGATGGACAGTCCCATTAAATGCTCCCTCCTTCTCCATAGCTGAGGACCGGTGAGGGACAGTGGGCTCAGCAAGACTAGTAGACAGTAGGGGGCACTACCAACCAGATTCAAAAGCCTTGGCTTCTCTCATCCCCAAAGAGCCTACCTCATGGTCCCCAAGTCCCATGTGGAAGCTGACCCCTGTCCCCAGCCCTAGGAAGAGACCAGAGGAGGAGAGGCAGGTCCAAAGTCCTGTAGTGCCCCTATGTCTTCTCAGGCAGCCCTGCCTTCCAGCAGCCCAGCTTCCTCTGGAGTCTTCTGGTCTACACACCGCATGGAGAGGGGAAGAAACTAGCAAGGGTTGAAAGTCATGGCTTCAGCAACAGCAAGACCTGGGTTAAAATACCCACCCCCGACACACTGATATCCAGAATCTGGGTCATGTGTGCTCTCCACACCTCGGTCCCCAGGATGAGTGGGGATCACAGACCTACCTTTTAAGGGTTAAATGAGACAATACAAGGAAAGCACCTTAGCTGGTCCTGGCCCCCAATGTAGCAAGGGCTCAGCCATCCAGAATTGTGATTATTCTCTCCCTGCCATCCAGCCCACCCAGACCCCGTCTCCAGCCGGGAGTGGGAGGAAGGGGACAGGGCCAAAAGAAGGGTTCTGTCAGGGTCTGCTCTGGGCCTTGCCCCTTGGAGGCACCATCTGTCCCCAAGGACCCCAGGCTCCCAATGTCTCTCACAATTGTCCCTGCCTGATGCCCAGTCCCACATGGGGCGTCCAGGATGCAGCAGCTGTTGAGCCCCAGGGCTGGGCTTGTTCTGGGCAGAGGGACTCCTACTTCCCGTCACCAGCCTGGTCTGCACTCTTGTGTGCAGGGTCGGGGCCCAGCAGGGCAGCCAGGATGCCATCAGGTTGAGGGCCTCCTCGCTTCATCTTGAGATTGGCTCTCAGGGCCGCATCCTGCCCAGAGCCTCCTTCAGGGGAGGCCAGGGGATCTGGAAGGAGAGCAGAAGGGTTGCTCAAGACAGCCTCAGTGTACCCAATGGCCTCTACTACCAGAGCCCAGGCATGTCCAGTGAGAGGAGGCAAGTAGGCTCTGCCCCTCATTCATTCACTAAAACTAATGCACTCACTTCTTTGTTCATTCAGCCGCACACACATCCATTCACCTATTAATTTGCTCACCCATTCACACGTTCATGTCCCCGTTCAGTTTTCCCCATTCATTCATCTTCTTTTCCATTTATTCCCCCACATAGTCATGCCAAGATTCACTCACTCATTTCCCCCTCTTTGATTTGTTCATCCACTAGTGCATTCTTTCATCCACCTACTCATTCCCCTATCCATTCATCCCCTTATTCACCCATTCATCTACTTACTCATTATCCCATTCATTCATTCACATAGCCACCCCCACCCGTTTGTTCGCTCCTCCATTCACTACGTATACATGCACCTGCTCATTCCTTCTTAAACCATTATCAGGTGGCCTGAGCTCCAGACCCTGCAGAAGCACCAGCTACCCCCAGCTTATATACGGAGGAGTCCCCAGTGTGTTAGGAGTCCCTCCACGATGACAAGGAAGATAAGGACGGCTTCACCAAGGAGCACATTCTGATGCGGGTAGGAGTCCCCAGGTGAAGGAACTGGTCTGAGCAAGACAGAGGCGGGAGGCAGCCTGGCTTGTCTGGGTGTGGCTGGTCACCCCTGTGCTGCTGGGGAGTGGGGCTTTGACACTGAATGTCCTTGAGCAGACGAGGGGCAGAATCAGAGGGTTTAGTGTGGGCCATCTGACAACATGGTGCAGAGTCCCTGAAGCAGGGGACCACTCGGCTTTAGCAGCCCCCACGAGACCAAGAGGTCATGGGAAAGTGGGAGGCTTAGTCACTACTCACCGTGGACCCCAATCATGTGTTCCAGGATGAGGACCCTCTCTGCCAGGATCTTCAGGGCCTCTCGAAGCTGCTGCACACCCTCACCCTGGCGTGGATGAAAAACCAGTTCAGGGTCTCCATCAGGCTGGGGTGGGACAGGCGCATAGGCTGTGCAGACACAGAGGACATTCCCCACAGCCCCGCCTCTTCTGCAATGTCCACACCACTACAGACATCAGAGCCGAGCACTGGCGGTGTGCCCGGCCATGTTCCAAACAGGATTCACCAATGGGCAACTCAAAGCCCAGTCAGTCAGCATGCCCACAGTTAAAGCACGACTGTGCTGACCGGGGCTTCAACTCTAGACCTGATGGGCTCAAGCCTAAGTGTTTCTCCTACTACGGTCTTCCAAGGGCTCCTTCCCAGCATGCCCTAGGATGGTTTTTTGTTTGTTTGTCACTTTGACACAAAACAGAATTATCTGGAAAGAGTAACCTCAGGTGAGACAATGCCTCCATCAGACTGGCTTGTCGGCCAGTCCCTGGGACATTTTCTGGATTGATGACTGATATGGAAGGGCAGAGAGTCCCCTGAGGGCAGGGCTGTCCCCGGGCAGGGGGTCCTGGATTGTATCAGAAAGCCAGCTGAGCAATCCATGGGCAGCAAGCCAGTAAACAGCCTTCCTCCATGATTTCTGCCTGAGTCTCTCTCTGCCTTGACTTGCCCTGACAATGGACTGTACGCTGGAATAACCCTTTCCTCTCCATGTGGCTTTTGGTAGCAGTGTTTATCGAAGCAATAGAAAGCAAATGGAGACGAGCAGCCTGTATTAACCTCTGAACCGTCTCTCCAGCCCCGATTCCACATATATTCTTGAGAGACACGGCTCAAGCTCCAACAGACCCCTACTTCCCACCACACGGAATATTACCTCAGAAAGGTCATGCACCTAAATGTAAGAGCCAAAATCATCAAGCCTTTGGAAGGAAATGTAGGTGTCAGTAATTGTAATCCTGGATTAGGTGATGGTTTCTTTGATGTAGCATTTACGATTCAAGTAAAGACTGAGAACAAAGTAGACAAATCAGGGGCATCAAATGAGACTTTTTTTCACAATGAAGGGTGCTATTAGAATGAAAACTCACTCATAAAATGGGAGAAAACATTTGCAAGTATCGGACACACTATTTAACACAGGATATCCGAAGAAATCTTACAAGCTTTGGCTTCCCCGATGATGGACTCTAACCTGAACCCCAAACAAACCCTTTCCTCCCCCAAGCTACTCTGGCCACAGTGTTAATCAAAGCAATAGAACTCTGACTAGGACGCCCACCTTCCAGAAGATATCAAGAGGCCAGAGTACTCAACCCAGGGCCTGCGGGTAGATAAAGCAATCTGCACCTGCCTGAACTATCCACCAGAGGGCACCGGCCAATCATCTGTGTGGAGTTGGCTGAGCCAAGCCCGAAAAAGATTAGAGACAGCCAAGGTTCCCCAGAGTGCTAGTAGGGGCTAGCGCCAGGTACATTGCCAGAACCTTCATTCCACGTGTCTTCATGTGTGGAGGCACCTGACTGCACCAAGGTAAGCTGCTGACCTTTGAGAAGACGGACAGCAGGCAAAGGCAAACCAGGTGGCCTAGGGGAAAGGCTGCCAGCCCTGAGCTGGAGTCAGGACGGATGTGCGTCACTGCCTGTGGAACATGACGGATCTGCTGTTCCCCTCAGAGTCACAGGGGAGTCAGAGAGTTTGCTAATGATAAGAGTGAAGTCCCCATAGGAGACAGAAGGCAGCTGTGTGCAGAGTTCATGCCTCCCAGCTGGGAAAGGGCTCTGGGTGCAGAGCAGGGTCTTCAGGGTCTCTCTATCAGAGACACAGACAAGCTGTCCTCCCCTTCCCCTCTCTCCTCTCCTCCCTCCCTCCCTTCCCCTCTCTTCCCTCCCCTTCCTTTTCTCTCCATCCTGCTGCTCACCTCTCCCCCGGCCTCTCCCCCTCCTCCTCCTATCTTCCTGCCTTTTCCTCTCTCATCTGATTTCCTTTTCCCTTCCCTTCTTCATGTGTTTTGTTGTTGTTGTTGTTTTAGACAGAGTCTCATTATGTAGCCCAGGCTAGCCTTGAACCTGTGCTTTTCCCGTCTCAGCCACCCAACACCAGGATCTCCCTTTCCTTAAGTACAGCAAGATTTTCCCAAATCTCCTACCTGGCTATGCCCTGACTCAGCCTCACCTCTGCGGCCCAGGACTCCTTCCACACTGCTCCAAAACTCCCAGCTCACTCTTCCCACACATACAGGAAGCCCTTAGCAGGCACTTCTGTTCCCAGACTATTTTTGTTGTTGTCCTATGTTTGTTTTTTGATCTCCACCCCACCCCACTTTACCCCAACCTCCCAAGCTCTCAGGTCCCCCTTGCTGGGCTGAGGACAACCTTGAATTTCATGCATTGCTGGGCAAGTATTCTACCAACTGAGCCACACTCCCGGCTCTGCTTCCACAGCTTCCCCTGAGAGCCCCAACACCCTGGTTCCTGTTCCTCCACCTCCAAGCTCTTGTCCCAGCTTTCACTCACTCACCACAGTCTTTTCCTGTTCCCATCCTCCCGCACTGGGATTTGAACTTGAAGCCCCTTCCTCCCCCTGTTGTGCCTCGTATCCACCAGCCCATGTTTACCATGGCAGCTAGCTGCCGTGGGAGAGCCAGACTGAGAGAACGCAGGGGTGAAGAAGGGTGGAGTCGTGACGAGACATGGTGAGAGGAAAGATGAACATGCCATGCTGAAACACGGTACTGCCACATGGTAGAGTGTACATAAGAAACATGGATTAAGTTAAGCTGCAAGAGCAAGTTAGTAACAAGCCTGAGCTATCAGCCGAGCATTTAAAATTAGTAAGTCTCTGTGTGGTTATTTGGGAGTTGGCTGGTAGGACAGAAACGTCTGCTTTCATCAGGCGTAGTTACCTCTGCAGTGGTGGCTTTGTCTTCTTCGCCTCCCCTCACAGCAGGCTCACCCTAGGAAGCAAGTCTCATGGTCAAGATGCTGGGTGGGTGCAAGGGCACCTCTCCACCCACGGGGTCATGCAGAGACAGAACACAGACGGCTGGGGTGAGACAAGGGATGGAGGGCATACACCAAGACTTTGCTTGTGCAGTCCATCATAGAGAGGTGTACAGGTCACCCGAAGAGCTGCTGCCTCTGAAATGGGGGACTTGGGCTTGGGCTGTGATTTTAAGAGGGTGGTTTAACCTCTCTGTGCCTCCATTACTCATCTCTAAAAGGTGATTAACAATAATACCTACCTTGCTGCTATGAAGGAGATGGAGTAGATTAATACTGAGCAGGAGCTTAAACTAGCCTGGGTATTATCAAAACTGTTGGTGCCATTTTTTTTTTTACTAGGCACAGGAGGAGTCAAGCTTTGGAGGTTGACACTCCTGAGTTCAAAATTCCAGCTCTACTATTGTGTAGCTGTGTGATTTGGGGGAAATTATTTAATCTCTCTGAGGCTTGGCTGCCAGTTCCTATAAATCAGCATAATAAACATAGTCTGGCTAGGAGAAAGTGAGGCTTAAATACATGATGAAGACTTCCCACACTATATCAGCACACAGTAGGTATTCAGCAGAGATCCATCACCCCTCCTCCCCCATCCCGACCCTGATATCAGTCTTGATCATGACACATTGTCTTCTTTGGTCTTGGAGATTGGAGCCAAGACCCATAATTCTTGTGTAAAAGAAGGGTCATGGAGGCCAGATGTCTGAGCCTTTAGGAGATTCAAAGAACCAAAGAGACATTCCTGGTCATACAGATTATGAATATATGACCCTAGGCTACACAATATTAATAGAAATATCTAGACAACTTGGTATGTTAACCAAGGTAAGCTGTGACTAGCCTTCCCAGGACAAGCCCCAACTTGAGGTTATTTCCAATCTTGCCACACTCATTGGCAGGGACCCCAGGTGACCTCCAGGTCACCCCTTTTCTGTTGGGTCATCTCAGGCTGTACCCAATCTTTCTCTTAGTTGGGATAAACGAGCCTATGTTTGAGGACACTATGGGGCTGAGCACAGGCGTAGCTCCCAATTTCCCAGTGCCCAGCCCATTGGCTGAGCCCATACTTACAGAAGGCCTTGCCACAACCGGCTCATCCACCAGTCCCTGGAAAGAAAAAGGCCAGTGGGGCTCTCCTGCCTTTGATGCTTTCTGCCTCTGGTCCCACCTATGCCGGGGCCCAGCAGAAGAAGAAGCTGGAAGTTCAAACTTGGGACCTGACTGGGTCTGCAACTCCACCCACAGCAGAGGTCTGATGCTGAGCCTTGGACAAGACTTTGGTCTAATCTCTTGTCCAGTGAAGCAATGCCAAACCCGGGTGTCTTGCAGAGGAGGGGAAACAGGCGACTCAGCACTTGGGCAGAAAAACTGCAAGTGACTGAGGCAGGAGATAGATAGCCGTATATGTGCTGATCCAGGGTTTATATGCTCTAAGCCCAGGGCTTACATATGTAGCAGCTGTCTCCTGATGCCCTTTGCTTGCAAATCACTCCTCAAACCTTTCACCAAAGTGGGACCCTAGCTCCTGCCCTCACACATTGAGCCGGAGGGACCTTCTAGATCCCATAGATTCGACCCAGACAGCTCACCTAGCCTCACACCCCACTTTTCTTTCACAACCAGCCTTGTCCCTGGATCAAGGAACCAGTCCCTGCATGCCTGTCTCTGCAAGCTGATGGACCACACTGCTGGACAGGCAGAGCAATCCTAGAGCTTTGAACTTCCCAGTCAGGCTTAAGAGCTTGCTTCCTCTCCAACAGGTGATCCCCAGGGGAGAAACAGGGGTTCAGGTATCACTGGGTGACCCGTTGAGAATGTTTATGTGGCTTTCAGCAAAATCTAAGCTTTCTGTGACTCAGCTCATCAAAACACTTGCAGTGGTACCACACTGGGACAACTGACACCACAAACTACCCCTCCCTACACTACACTAGAAATGGCCAAGTCCTTACCTGGGATCCAGGTGCTCCTGGAGGTCCTGGAGGACCATGTGGTCCTGGGGGACCTGTGGGTAGAGTCATTGATGAACAATCAAGGCCAGAAAAGCTCACTACTCCCCCATCAGATCTGAGCAGGGACACTCCCAGCATCCCCCACTGGTAGCAAATGAAAGTTTGATGAATGAATATCAGAGAAGACTCAGATTCTCCAGGCCCTCCCACCCTCAGATCTCAGAGGCCCACCTCCACCCACCCATCTCCTCCCATTCCTAATCCACATGGTCACCCCAACCCTGAGACATGGAGACTGAGCAGGGAGCTAGTCCACAATGTCCCAGCCCAGCCCATTTGGAAACCTAGAACCAGGCCCTCTGATATCCCCCATCCATTTGCCTTGGTTACCATGAGCCCCTACTGTGTCCATTCAAATCACACATTTGAAACATTCTATTAGGGTCTCTGAAGGCCCCCCATTCAGGATAGACTTAATTGTTAACTTGACAGTCTAGAGTCATCTGAGAGGAGATGCCCCAGTTGAGTGACTGCCCAGGTTAGAATGATGTATGGTCATGCTTAGGAGATTGTCTCCATTGGTAATTGATGCAGGAGAGCCAAGCCCACCATGGGCAGCATCACCCCCTAGGTAGGTGGTCCTGGCTGTATAAGCCTGAACCTGTGAGTGAGCCAACAAGTAGCAATCCTCCATGGTTGCAGCCTCAGGTTCCGGCCCTGGCTTCCCTCAATGGCAGACTGTGACCTATAGGCTGAAATAAACCTTGTCCTCCCCTAAGGTGCTTTTGGCCAAGGTGTTTGTCATAGCAGCATTGCCAAGTCCCCAGTCAGACCCTCTTCATCCTCTCCCCACAGATACCTACCTCTGGAAAGTTCCACTGCTGCTGTTTCTTCCCATCAATTGATGAGCAAACCCCTATTATTCCCTCCTGGCTCTCTTAGGCAGCACTGGCCCATATATCTTTACGTGGACCAGTCCCCTGCTCATGGCCATCGTGTTCCATACCTGGTCCCCCCACCCCATCCAAGCTCAGCCCAGGGGATGGTCCAGAGGAGCAGGCTTTCAATCCACTTCCCTGCACAGACTTGCACTTCCCAAGCCTCATGGAGCCCTTACCAGAGTGTGCCAGCATGGCCACTCATCCCAGGCCACAGTCTAGTTATAAAACAAGCACCATCTCTGTATCCCAAGCATGCCAGGGATGTCCTTAACACCCCACGAATCAGCCACCTCGCGTCTCTCAAATGCAACCTTCTGTGTGAACCCCACTTAACTCCTTTCCAGATCTGTCTCTCATCATTGCTTTCCCTCCATTCCACAGAAGAGTGGGGAGGGAGCGTAGATCCTTGGGCATGCTAAGCAGTGACTACCACTGAGCCATAGCCCCTGCCCCCTGAACAGAGATGAAGAGTGAGCCAGTGGCCACCTGCATGGCTTGTCTGCTCACTTTTGGAATCCTTGGGGCATGACATATGGGCCCTGTGTACACAGAGGGTCTGTGAAGGATGGGAAATACCCAGTCTCTCTCTTCCCACAGGGATCTTGTTTTTGCTGCCTATTGTATATCTGTGCCATAGCCCTCTCGAAGATCCTCAGTTCCCTCTGCTGCCCTATCTGCCCCTGGTCTGGGCTTGCATGGGCCCTGATGTGCCCCCAAAGACAGCCTGCGGGCACTTCATTCAGATATCTGTCTTGTTTTTAGACTTTTTCAGGGCTGATGTGTCCAGTTGTCTGGGGGGTGGGGCACATCCAACTGGAGACCGTAGACTGCCCAGCTGGCCTCCTTTCCCTGAGACGAGACCTAGGTAAAGTCCTGGCATTGTATAAACCAGGTGTCGTGGTACTGCAATTCTGAGACTTGGGAGCTGGAGGCAGGAGGATCAGAAGTCAAAGGTTATCCTGGGCCATCCTGGGCTACACACTATCCTGCTGAAAGAGGGAGGGAGGGAGGAAAATAGGCCTTGGTGCTCAGGACAAGCCAAAGAAGAAATCTTCAATCCACTCACCGGGGGGACCAGGGGGACCCCGGGGACCTGGGACACCAGTTAGTACTGTGTCGACCACAGCAGGGTTCAGCTGGGTATCCCCATCTGCAAAGAGAGTCACACGATCAGTAATCAGGTGGGATGGAGGCGGCCAGTCTGGAGGCTGAGTCTGAGGGAGGGACCAGTGGGCTCCTCAGAGCCCAGCCCAGCCCCACCCTGTGTGGGATGCACACACTGCATTTACTGTTCAGAAGTAGTCAGGGTAAGGGGTGGTGAGGTGGATCAGTGGTTAGAGCACTTGTTACACAAACATGAAGACCTGAGTTTGAATCCCCAGCATCCTCATAAGAGTTGGGCGTGGTAGCCCCTGCCTGAAATTCCAACACTGGAGCCTGGAAACACCAGGTTTGCTGGCTACCCAATCAGCATGCTCCAGGTTCAGTGGGAGACCCTGTCTCAAATACTGAGGTGGAGAGCAACTGTGGAAGACACACAGGTCAACTGTGACCTTTACATACACAGGTACACACCTGCACAAACACATACATCACACACACACATACACACACACGCACATGCTTGTGTACAAACACATTCATACACACACATCACATACACACACACATACATCACACACGCACACACACACACACACACACACTTATGCTTGTGCCCAAACATGCTCACACACACACACGCACACGCACAGGCACACGCTTGTGCACAAACATGCTCATACATACACACACGTGTACACCAGGGTGGATCCTCTGTCAGGCTCCTCATGGCTTAGGGGCCTATTTCAGTGGACATTAAGGTCATTGCCCACTCCTCAGCACCATCTGCCTTCTCCCTAACTAGGGACATTTCTTCAAGGAAGCCCAGGCTACAGATGAAGTCAGAACTGGCCTCTGCCCCACCCAGAACCTTCTAAAGGCACCTAGACTCCCCAGCATTCAGGGATGGTGTGTTTCAGTTTCCAGAGTAGTTCCTCACAGAATATGGCCACATACCTGGCTTTACAACTGCAGGAACTGAGGCCTGGATTCAGGGACAGTAATCAGTGCCCAGGTGAGGTGTGTGCTATATGTATGTGTGTGTGTTGGTGGGGGGCATTGAACAGGGTTTTCCCTGACTCCATTCCTATAACTGCTAACAAGACCTCCATACCCATACTGTCAGTCACATCACCTGCCCATCCTCTTCTTCAAATTTCCATTCTGGGGGCTGGCAAGCTGGCTCAGAGGGTAAAGGCACTTGCCACCAAGCCTGGTGACCAGAGTTTGATCCCCAGAACCCACATGGTAGAAGGAGAAAACTGACTTCCACAAATTGTCCTCTGACCTCTACACATGAACTATGGTATGCCCCGACTGATAAATAAATAAATGAATATAATAAATTTATTTTAGTTTACTCCTCTTCTTTTGATGCAACTGTTTATTTATTTATGTGGTATTGGAGATTGAACCCCAAGCCTCATGCATACTACATAGGAGCGCTAGCACTGAGCCACGCCCCATCCCCTCACTGGGGGAATCTAGGCAGGTGCTCTACCACTGAGCCACACCCCAGCCCCTCACTGGGGGATTCTAGGCAGGGGCTCCACCACTGAGCCACACCCCCAGCCCCTCACTGGGGGATTCTAGGCAGGGGCTCTACCACTGAGCCACACCCCAGCCCCTCACTGGGGGATTCTAGGCAGGGGCTCTACCACTGAGCCACACCCCAGCCCCTCACTGGGGGATTCTAGGCAGGGGCTCTACCACTGAGCCACACCCCAGCCCCTCACTGGGGGATTCTAGGCAGGTGCTCTACCACTGAGCCACAGCCCAGCCCCTCACTGGGGGATTCTAGGCAGGTGCTCCACCACTGAGCCACGCCCCAGCCCCTCACTGGGGGATTCTAGGCAGGTGCTCTACCACTGAGCCACACCCCAGCCCCTCACTGGGGGATTCTAGGCAGGTGCTCTACCTCTGAGCCACACCCTAGCCCCTCACTGGGGGATTCTAGTCAGGAGCTCTACCTCTGAGCCACACCCCAGCCCCTCACTGGGGGATTCTAGGCAGGTGCTCTATCACTGAGCCATGTGCCCCAGCCTAATTATTTTAAAACACACTTTGATTTTGTTTTCTTTTGAGATATCTGTGAGCTCAGACAGGCCTTGAGTTTGCTATGTATCCAAGATTGACTTAAAGCTATCATTGATTCTCCTGCCTCGGCTTCCTGAGAGCTTGGGTTTAGGGTTGTGATACCAACCAGCTCTTCCAAGTTTTAAAAATAACCCCGGGGTTAGGGTTAGGGGTTAAAGGTTAGGGTTAGGCCTAAGTTAGATTTAGGGCACTTAGCCAAAATTGCCCCTCCTTTCAGAGTGTCAGGCTCTTTCTCCCTTAGACCCAGAATCTTTGACCCCTTGACCTGTGGTTCTCAGCCACACTGTGGTCCCTGAGTGACCAAGCAGGACTCTTTTGTCGCTTTTTGTGTTCAGAAAACACCTGTTGAATGTCTTACAGTGAGGAGACATCTGGAAGGAAGTGTGACAAGGTGACTTTGGTGACGTTGCCTTGCCAGCGAATAGAGCTGACTGCCTGTGGAGGTAGGCTGTGTCAGGCACGGCAAGCTGAGCCTCGAGGCCAAGAGCAGGCTTGGAGACCATTGCCGTTGTCTCTGGGGCCACTCCTTCAGGCCAAGCCTCGTTTCCTGGCCGATTCCTACCACCGGTGGGATCCCTAGGAGGAAGCTAGTCCACCCCCTCCAGACAGCGTGGCACCCCCGGGCCCTCCCATCCCAGGGCCCAGCACTCACTCTCCTTGTCTGTGGGTGGCTGCAGGGAATAGAGGACACCTTGGGGACTGTTTGGCAAGAGGCTGGGACTGCCTGCTGGTCCAGGAGGGCCTGGGGGACCAGGGCGCCCCATTTCTCCGGGAAGCCCTCGTGGCCCTGGTGGCCCCAAGAGACCTGCAATGGAGAGCAAAGGACTTAGTGAGACAGACAGCAGGGATCAGACGGGGAAGCTGAGGCCTGGAAGGGGAGAGGACTGGCCAGTGTCGTTTGGGCACTCGGTGATAGGCGTCTGGAGCCACGGAGGGTTTAGTGAGAGGGCTTAGTAATTAAACCTGGCAGGCTAGGTGAGAAGGCTTGCCATGCCTGGTGTAATACAGAGAGGGCTCGGGGACACAGAGGATGGACAAGATAGTAGCGTTAGAAGACGTGGAATCAGGACCAGGAGTTGAGCGCTGGAGCAAGGACTGAGGGTGGGCCGGTCCTGAGTGGGGCCTGATGCTCTGCAGCACAAAGGGGATCGTGGGATTCCTGAATGGTGTTTCAGGAGGTTGGAACAAACCCCTGGGCCTTAACAGCCCCACCCCACCCCTGCAGCACCCCTGAGATTGGGAAGGGGAGGAAGTCGAGAAGAAAGGGGCTAACAAGCAAGGTTGGGGTACATGGAATGTCACCCATGCTCAGGTACAAAGCAAACCACAGTCTCGTTAATCCAGAGGACAGAGGTTCCTTACCTGGAGGTCCCACTGGGCCCTTTTCTCCTGTCTGGCCCCGGTCACCTTTGGAACCTGGGGGCCCGGCAGGCCCTGGTGGTCCCATCTGTCCTGGAGGTCCTAGAGGAGAGAATAATGTGAGAACATTGTGGAATCGGACACCATGGAGGCTCCAATTCTGGTCATATAGACTGTGTGCTCAGACGAGTTGTTGGCAGGGGCTCTACCACTATCCACACCCCAGCCCCTCCCTGGGGGATTCTAGTCAGGAGCTCTACCACTGAGTCACACCCCAGCCCCTCACTGGGGGATTCTAGGCGGATGCTCTATCACTGAGCCACACCCCAGCCCCTCACTGGGGGATTCTAGGCGGATGCTCTATCACTGAGCCACACCCCAGCCCCTCACTGGGGGATTCTAGGCGGGTGCTCTGTCACCGAGCCACACCCCAGCCACCAGGTGTACCAGTCATTAGAGCTGACAAGCTATCGTTCCCTTCTGTGATCCCAATAACTGCGTTTGTTCTCCCCTTTTACGAACACGTGTGTAAACTGAGCAGCAGGGAGCATGGACTCCTGCCCCTGGCCACAGAGCCAGGCTGTAGCTTGTTCTCACTTCAAATCCATCCTTCCTGCTGTCTTCTTGCTTAAGGTCCAGTTCCTGTGGCAGCTGAGCCCAAGCTCAGGTCTGCAGGGGCAGTTCAGTTCAAGGATAGTCTGGTGACAAACTGGGACTTTGTCTCACAGTCACGTCAACTGAGGGCTGCGCTTGAAGCTCGGCATTTAAGTTGCAGATGAGGAAGAGTTGGACTTGGGGGTGGGGTGGGCGTGGGGGTGGGGGTGGGTATCCTGAAAAGTGCCTCTTGCTGGAGAATCCCCAGGTCAGGGAGGCAGGAAACCCAGGAGTCACCATTAGTGGTGTGTGCCTGCCACCTGCTGGCCATTGATGGAACTTCACTTTCTCCGATAAAGTTCCAGCCAAGAGCACCAATGATTTTTAGACAACCCAAGAAGTAGGTTGGAGCCTGTGTCCTTGGGGAGATGGGAAAAGGGCAGGTGTGGGCTCAGAGAAGAATCCTGGGTTTCTCTTGGAGAGGAGAAAGGGGGGCAAATTATGTCCCCAGGCTCTTGCAGGGCTATGGATCACCAGCAAGCTGGGTGACTCTGGGGCAGTCACCTAACTTCTCTGTAACTCTGCTGCTCACACACTTTGATAAAAAGGTTGGAAATGGCACTTGTCCAGGCATGGCCGTGTGCTGCCATGACCCCAGCACTATTGGAGTGGGGTGGCAAAGACCAGAGGATTGTGGGGGCTTGTGGGCCTCCAGCCTAGATCCAGGTTCAGTGAGAGAGCCTGTCTCAAGGGAATAAGGTGGAGAATGGCAGAGAAGGACACCTGACATCCTTCTCGGACCTTGTGTGGGTACTGGGGCACGCGCATATGCATGCACGCACGCGCGCACACACACACACACACACACACACACACACAAATATCTAGTGACTAATACAGTGGAGGCAAGGACCCTGCCAACCCTCTAGTTAATCAACCCCCCCCCCCCACACACACACACATCACCACCACCACAGTAAACAGCCTGCAGCCAGCATGAGCAGGTGTCCTAGTTAACCTTAATTGTCAACTTGACACAGCCTTGAGTCAACTGACAAGCCAGTTAAGATCGGCCTGGGGCGTGTCTGAGGGGGAGGCAGGGTTGTCTTGATGGTTAATTGTTGCAGAGGGCCCAGTGCACCACGAGGTAGCGCCATCCCAAGGTCCTGGTCTGTTTATGAAAGCTAGGTAAGCCGAGGCAGGGAGTGAGCCAGGAGTGAGCCGGCAAGCAAAAGTTCCTGCGTGGTTTTGCTTCTCCTTCCTTCCCTGACTTCCCTCAATGATGGACGGGTCTATAAGCGGAAGCAAACCCCTACATTTCCTAAGCTGCTTTCACTTCAAAGCAGTTCATCAAGCAGCAGGAATAACACTACAACAAGCAGGCGCTGACAACTGCACCACGGTGGCTACAAATGACAGTACTGTTTGGCAGTCCGGCTGCAAAGCCTGGGCCTCCAGGGAGAGGCTATAGAAAGGCCATTTTATTTTTGTTCTTGACAGGAAGCCAGGGATGGTGACCTACAATCCCAGCACACAATTCCAGACGGCTGAAGCAGGAGGATTAGGAGTTGGACAACAGAGCTTAGAATGGATCTATGGGGCTCTGTGTGTCTTTGGAGCATCTGAACGCTTGCAGATCTTCCTTCTTTCTTTTAATTTATTGCCATCCTGGGGGATGAACTCAGGACCTCACATATCGTGAGTAGGTGCTCTACCACTGAGCCACACCCCAGCCCCTCACTGGGGGATTCTAGGCAGGGGCTCCACCACTGAGCCACACCCTAGCCCCTCACTGGGGGATTCTAGGCAGGTGCTCCACCACTGAGCCACACCCCAGCCCCTCACTGGGGGATTCTAGGCAGGTGCTCTACCACTGAGCCACACCCCAGCTCCTCACTGGGGGATTCTAGGCAGGGGCTCTACCACTGAGCCACACTCCAGCCCCTCACTGGGGGATTATAGGCAGGGGCTCTACCACTGAGCCACACCCCAGCTCCTCACTGGGGGATTCTAGGCAGGGGCTCTACCACTGAGCCACACTCCAGCCCTTTCTGAGATGGGGCAGTGTTTTGCTAAGTTGCCCAGACTGGTCTTAAATTCACTCCATGGCTCAGGCAGACCTTAAACTTATAATCCTCCTGTTTTAGCCTCCCAGGTACCCAGGATCAAAGATCTATGTCCCTAGTCCTGGCCAGATCTTTCACTGTTCTAAAGAAGAATGTGAAATACTGTTGTTATGCTTAAGCCACCTTTTTTTTTTTTTTTTTAGTAATCAGTTCAAGTTTCAACGCACCACATGAGCAAATTAGACCCAGGAGGCCAGGGTGTGGCCTGTGTGAAGGTCCTAGGCACCCACTCTGACCTCCTTCCCTGGCCAGATCCCTCCCCTGTGGGCCCTGCTCACCAGCTGGACCTGAGGGCCTTCTCCTTCGGGGCCCTGGATGAGCAATGGGAATGGCATCTGGCAGGAAGTCCTCATTCCAGACTGGTGGGGTGCTCTGCGGGGGTGGCAGGTCATTGTCTGGACCTGAAGGCTGCTCAGCTGCTTCCAGCAAGAGGACCTAGCCAGAGAAGAGAGGAAGGTCAGGCCCTGGCCAGCAAGGACAGGGATAGAAACAAGCAGGAAGAATGGGGTCTAGATACACAATGGAGTATTATTTAGCCATCAAAAAGAGTGCCATTTGCAGAGAGATAATAAGGCTAAGCAAAGTAAAACAGACTCAGAAAGACAAATACTGTATATTTTCTCTCATACTCATGATCTCTCTCTCTCTCTCTCTCTCTCTCTCTCTCTCTCTCTCTCTCTGTGTGTGTGTGTGTATTTCTGTTTTTCTCTTTCTCTGAGTTGAATATAATTAAAAATACATGAAAAATATAGTACACACTTTTAGACAACTTGGTAAAAAGCAACGGGCTGGCAAGATGGCTCAGCAAGTCAGCAAGTGAATGTACTTGCCACTAAATCTGATGACCAGCATTCCATCCCTGGGACCCACATGGTGGAAGGAGAGAGCTGACTCCTGCTTGTCCTCTGGCCTTCTAATATGTACTGTGGCGTGTGCATGCCCATAACCACACATCCACAAAAATAAATAAAACGAAAAACTTAACAAAAATGAAAAGAAGACTGGGCATGGTGGGCACATCCATTTCCTCAGTATTTGGGAGGTGGTGACAGGAAGATCAAGAGTTCAAGGCCAGCCTGGGGTACATAGGAGTTGTTGGCTAACATGGGCTACATGAGCCGTGTGTGTGTGTGTGTGTGTGTGTGTTGTTGTTGTTGTTGTTGCTGCTATTGTTGTTAAAGCAGAACAGCAGGGACATGGGTGTGCAAGGACACATGACCACTAATGGTCCCTGAGACCCAGCTGTCCCTTGCTCATGGTGGGTTATGCATCTCAGCAGGAGCACCACCCTTTGGTACATACATCCCTGTCCTTCCTCTCTCCTTCCATATCAGAAGCTTTATAACTCTCAGGCAGCACTTTCTGGACCCTCTAGTTCATTCTATAGCCATTTGTCACCGTGACTAAGTGACAGCCAAGCTCCCCCTTGTGACATAGAGGGACTGTGAGCTGTATACTCTGTCCCCTCTCTTCGTGGCTTGGTGCTCAAGTCCCTTTACTGGGGAATAATTGTGGATGGATGAATGGACAGATAGGTGGGAGGATGGGTGGTTGGATAGATGAGTGGATGGATGAGAGGATGGATGAGTGGATGGGTGACGATGAGTGGATGGATGAGGAGATGGATGATGGATGATGATGGATGAGTGGATGGATAGATGAGTGGATAGATAAATGGATGGATAGATGATGGATGGATGAAGGGATGGATGGATGATGGATGGATGAGTAGATGGATGATGATAGATGAATGGATGGATAGATGATGGATGGATGAGGGGATGGATGGATGATGGATGGATGAGGGGATGGATGGATGATGGATGGATGAGGGGATGGATGCATAGATGGGGAGATGGATAAGGAAGTGGAAAGGCGGGTGAGTACATGGGAAGGTAGATGGATGGGTGAGTGGGTGGGTGGATAAATAAGAAAGTTTTGGTCTGTGGTCTTGGTACCCATCTAGGAAAACTAAAAGGAGACATTGGCTCCTCAGTACTCCCCCACCCTTCCCTCTTCCCTCAGTGGAGGCAGGGGTCAAAGATCGCAAAGACTGGGAGGTGTGCCTGGAACTTTTCCCCTTAATTCAACTTTTTCAAGTAATGTATGAAAATGCTGTAACAAAACACGTAACCTTATGCGCTGACTTTTAATTTGTTTTTATTTTATGTATGTAAGTATTTTGCCTGTGCGTATGTCTGTGCACCATATGTGTGTCTGGTGCCCACGGAGGTCACAACAGGGTATCAGATCCCCAAGAACTGGAATTATAGAAGTTATGTGAGTCATCACATGGGTGCTGGAATCCAAACCTGGGTCCTCAGAAAGAGCATCAAGTGCCCTTAACTGCTGAGCTATTTCTCCAGCCCTTTTGTGTGTATGTGCTGATTAAAATTAATAATAATAATAATAATAATAATAATAATAATAATAATAATAAATGTCCAAAACCCAGTGACTCCTAGCTGTTCCTGATATGTCCAGCAGAGGGCACTGTGTGCCTGAGCTGGACACAGGGTAACCACTGCTCTGGGCATCTAGTCTGGCGGGGGCCCTAGGGCAGAGTCTACACCTGGGAACCCTTTTACTCCCACTGATGCTGGCAATCAAAAGGACAAACAGCTCACTGGGGCCTCGGCTAGCCTGAGGTGTCATGGGAGGTGTGTCTTTCCTGTTCAGCTGCCTGGAACCCCTCTCCACCTGGTACCAGGGCCACTCTAATCTGCTCTCTTTGATCCTTGAGCCAGGAAGAGTCTGCATCCTCCTCACATGTGAACTGGAAACAGAGGCTCAGAGTCTGTGTTTAACTCTTTTGAGGTCACCCAGCAAGCAAGAGGTCAGACCAAGGCCTTGGATCTCCCCTCACTGCCCCGCCCCTCCCCCCTGTCACCCCCACCCCTCGACACAATCCCCACAACAAAGGGAAGGTTCTGAATCCTGCTCCAGCCTGTGGGCATCCCAGGACTCTGGCTACTGTAGGGGGCGCTGCAGAGGTAGAGGGGGGCAGTAATGGAAGGAATGTGTTGAGGGTGGCTTGCATGCGTGAGAGGTGTGGTTCAGAGCAGTGGAAGAGAACACGGTGTGACGGGACCCTCTAACCCTGAAGCCCCTGTGGGGGTGGTGAAAGGAGGCTGTTCCCCACTCCTGCCTGGCTGCCGAGAACATAAAGCTGTCCACTAAACAAAGGCGGGCTTGGGTGCAGTTGACAAGTAGTCGGGGTGCACTATATCCCAGCATCCCCCAGGGCCCCAGAGATGAGCAAGGGACAGTCCCAGGCACATGGAACCGCAGTAGGGCCATGAGAGAGGACAAGGATGTGTGAGGGACGGAGAGATATAAAACTGATGGGGCCTGAAAAGTTCCTGCACCCCGATAAGCCTCGCCGCCGACACAGCAACCCAAATCAGGCCAAATCAAACCGAATTAGAAAAAGGCCGTGTTTAATGGATACAACGCTCCCAGATGGCCTTCCAGCCCCCCCCCCCCCGAGAGGAAATGGGGAAAGGAGGCCGTTCTCTGGCGGACAGTGAGAGTGGCCTTGAGCATCTCTGGGGGACGGGTCATCATTTGATGGGCTTTGTGAGATGCAGCGGGGTTTGGAGGGAGATGGGGGAGGGGCTTGGGGTGGGACCTCCACCATAGCATCCCAGACTCTGAGTACATGGATGGATGCCAGGGGCTGGGGTGAAACTTCCACTAAAACAGAGAACAGGACATACCGCAAGGCAGAGGGATCCAGGAAAAAGTGTCCACTCTTTGTCACTGAGGATTGACCCTGATACTCTTTCCTGCTAAATTCTGGGCTTCTTCAACGGGATCTATCACCAGTTCTCTGCATTGGCACAGAGTGCTTGGCTGACTCCTGGATACTTCCACATGGCCACCAAGGCCCACAGAGCCGGTGAACAGAGGTGTCCTGGCCTCGGTCAAATTTGAGTCTGCCCCGGCCTGTGTCCCTGCACTCCTGGCTTGGCATGGCTGACCTCCCAAGGGGAAAAAATTCCATCTGTGCTCCGACTGGGCTTAACAGGGCTGATATGGAACACAGTCCAAGAAAGCCAGACTATGGGCTGGTGTGATGGCTCAGGGGGTAAAGGTGCTTGCTGCCAAGCCTGCAGAGTTGATGTGATCCCCAAAGTCCACACGGTGGAAGCAGAGAAGCGACTTCTGCAAGTTTTGCTCTGCTGCAGACACACAAGTCATGCGTACCTGCACTCAGGAGCATGCGCATGCGTACCCGCACTCACGAGCATGCGCATGAACATGTGTACGCCCAGCCCATCAAGGAAAAGATAATTTTAGAGAGAGAGAAAAAGAAAGAAAACCAGACTACAGATCTTCTGAGAAGTGGCCCAATGGCGTCATCACAGCCAGGTCCCCACTGTCCCCACCAGGGAACTGAATGTGTAACTTTCATTTCTTGGGTTCCCTCCCAGTCCTGTCGGCTGTGAAGTGGGAATTGAAAAGGGGGGGCAGAATACGGAAGGAGTCAGGTCCCTGCTGGTCTCTTGCCTGCCATCCTGCCCAGGACAAGAGGAAGCACACCCTAAAGGCCACCAGCCCAACTTCCCCTTCATACCTTGCTCTAGAACTTCCTATTGTGTTGTGTCTGTGTGTGTGCCCCAGAGAGGGGAAACACAATTAACTGTCCATTATAACATGAGGCATCGCACAGGAGCTCAGAAAACAGACTCACTGGGGAGGCAGAGGGGAAGGGTCAATGACAGACCACCAGTTCCTGGACTTTCATTTGAACAGACATACTTAGGGCGTGCGTTGGCTCATTCCTGTTGGCTGGGTCTGTCCCTTACAACTCGATGCACCACAGTGGTTTTATCTGAGGCAATAAAAGCCCCTGTCTCTAGGCCTCTGCATTGCCTCTTTTAGGCAGGCTGCTTCGTTTGACCTTTTTCTTTCCCTTTTGCTGTACCAGGGATTGAACCCCAGCCAGGAGACACATGGGCATAGAACAGGCAGCTGGAAAATGACACTGGATATGAGCCAGGAGACCTCAGCCCTTATCTAAGCACTCTGGGGTCCGTTTGAAGCAACCTGGGCCGAGCAGCTGGGCTTTGCCCCAGGGTGGGCTCCACGGTCCCCAGATTCAAGCTACCTTCCCGGAGTCCCACTCCTGAGCTGGATGCTCCACCCCATCTTGAAGCTGGCTCTTTCATGATGCCTGGAGTTCCCTCTGCCAGCCTGAAGGACGGAGGACAAGCCTTTAGCGGTGGCTGTTTACACTGCTGAGACCCTATATGTCAGGGGGTGTCAGGAGATGGGAGACAGGAGAAATCGCTCCCAGCCAGAGGGCATGCATGAGGCCAGGTGTAAGGGGAACAGCTGGCCCCCAAAAGCTGTGACTTTTAACACCCAGAATAGTGAACCAGAGCCAGGCCAAGCTGTCAGTTTTTTCTCTGTGCCAAACCCTACCACGGCTCTGGAAAATGCCCATCAGGCCGGCTCTCCTCTTCTGCTCTCAAGCCTCAGGGGCAGAAGTTTGTCCCAGCCTGGTCCTCAACATCCTGCCCACCCTTTTCAAGGTTGACCCGACCCTGGCCAGGGAAGCCTTCTACCCCCTCCCCCCAAGATCCTGACTCCAGAAGGAACACAGGGTCTCTGAGCGCTGACAGTGCACTGGGCCTTGGTTGGGAGGCCCTGCCTGCTCTCTAGGGTTTGATCACAGGAGGCTGTGCGTGTCCTGGGGCCTGGAATATCCTAGGTCCTGCATAATATCCCTCACAGTCTGGTGTACCTGTGGGCAGAGGACAACTTGCCAGAGTTGGGTCTTTCCCTTTGCCACGTGAATGCTGGGCATTGCACTCAGGTCGTGAGGTTTGGCAGTAATCACCCTTACCCACTGACGCAGCTCACTGGCTCCACCCCCTCCCCTTCTCTTCCCTCTCTCCTCCTCTTTAAAAAAAAAAAGTACAGTCTTGTAATGTAGCTCAGGCTAGCCTCAGATCTACAATCCTCCTGCCCCAGCCTCCTGAGTTCTGGGATGACAGGGTTAGGGCCAGGATCTTCTTCCATACTCTTGTTCCCCAAGTATGTGAAACATTTACTACTTGTGTGCACACATGTATGTGGGTGCATGTGGGGGTACACATGCATGAGTGTGCACGTTTGTGTGGAGGTCAGAGGATGATATCAGATGTTCCTCAGGCCCTGCACACCTTGCGTTTTGAGACCAGCTCTCTCACTGGGCCCTGGGATTCACCAAGTAGGCTAGGCTAGCTGGCCAGCCAGCCCCAAGGAGCTTCCTGTCTCCACCTCCCAGTACTGGGGTTATAAGTATATAACACTATGCCTAGCTTTTTCACCTGGGTGCTGGGAATTGAACCCTGCTCTCCGTGTTTGCAAGGCAAACACTTTAGTGGCCCAGCCCACACTGTGTGAATTGGACTCCTTGGCAAATTATGCAAATGGAAACTCGTGGCTGGCTCCAAACACCTATGTTCTCTGCTGGCTCTCTCTCTCTCTCTCTCTCTCTCTCTCTCTCTCTCTCTCTCTCTCTCTCTCTGTGGTGAGTCCTGCCTAACCCTGCTGGCTCTGTCTAGACAGCTAGGCCACTACTGAAGTTCCTGTGCCTTCAAAGGGCCCAGTGGCCTCAGCAGGTCGCCCCTCCCCCACTCCTCTTGCTCACGGATGTGGTGGGAACCGAGCATGGCCCTACAAGGGGCATGCCGTGGGCACCTTTAATCCTGCCCACTGCTTTCTGGCCAGGGAGGCTCTGTAATTCAGGATGAAAGCCAGGCAGCCATGGGAAAACAGGATTGACTCTGAGGAAGCCTCACCCAGTGGAGAACTAGAGAGGGTGCTGGACAGGTAAGCTCCCAGGCAGGTAGACTTAACATTTGTTCCATGGCGCCCCCTAGAGGAACCATAAGGTAGAATCTTATCGCCTAGAAAGGGCACTCCCCAGTGGGTTGAGCTGCCTGCAGGCTGTGGGGTGTACTTCAGGCTCCCAGCTTCGTGAACTGACACCCATGCTGGGTGGGCTTTGGTGATGCAGCTGTCTTTGAGTCATTTCTGTTAATGACTCCTCACCCATATTCCTGTGAGTAACCCCAATAAAACCCATTGGCTCATCAAGTTGGTCATGGTGGTAGTCGTTCTGGGCTCTGTATCTAGAGTGAGTAGGTAGGTGTGTTGTGTCTCCCCAGGAAAAGCTTTGTCATACAACACACTCCCCAGTGGGAACCACAATGTGGAGCCCCAAAGTCTGTGTAGGCACCCAGACAGTAAACACGCACGTTCCCTGCGCCTTTGCCCTCTCCTGGCACAGGGTGGGCCTGGAGTCTGTCCGGGACACCCACTGAGGACTTGCCTCTGCCCCATGTCTTTCCCCATAGATCTCCCCTGTGCCCAGTCCCACGCGGGCCCTTAGCTGGGAGGAGCACTGGGAACTGGAGACGGCACCTTGGGAGGGACAGGGACTGGCTTTTGACTTGGCCAGCCTCCTAGCATGACTTGGGAACACAGGGCCCCAGACCGGTCGCTCCCTGAGACCTTAAAGTCCTTCCTATCTTAGGGGACTGCCCCAGCCAAGGTTACCCAGAGCCAACAAGCCTCAATGGTTCTCAATGCCTGAGATCAGTCTGCCCAGGCTAGCCGGGCTCCTAGGAAAGAGGCATTCACTAGCCACATCCAGCATGTGTCTCAAGTCCCTCCATCCCCACTCACTGTCAGCTCCCCAGGCCACCCAGACCAGCTAACCTTGGCCTCCAGCGTGGTCAGGCGCTCACTCATGTCGTTAAGCCGGGTACAATTCATACATTCTGAAAAAAAAGAGGACGGAGAATCAAGGTTAGGTACAGTATAACCCTCCCCCCGCCACCCGGAAAGGGAAGCCTGGCAGGGGGATAGCTGGGTAAGAACTTTCTAATGATTTTTGCTTGAAAAACTCCTATCCATCCATCAGAGCCTTATCCTTGAGGACCATCCTCCTTGCATCCTGCTGTATCTGAGTCAGCCTGGCTAGGGGACAGTGGAAGAGGACAAGCTGGAGATGTGGCATCTAATGGGAGGTCTAAAGGCTACATGGTGGTTGATATATGCAGAGACCCAAACAGAAGCAAAAAGCAGGAAGCAGCATCTGTATGCAGCCAGTCCATCTGGGGACTGGGGGATGGGCGGGGGAAGGGTGGCATTGTGGCCAGGAGTGGGTCCTCACACCATGGGGTCTGGGAGATGGATTTGGCAGTGTCCTGGCAGGAGAGCTTCAAGAAGGTGGTCTGCAGGCTATAAGGCTCCTTCTGAGGACCAGGATAGAGCTCCCCCAAATCATTCTGGTTGGTGCACAGTGACTCATACCGATGATTCCAGTATGTGAGAGGCTGGGCAGGAGAGTCACCAAGAATTCCAGGCTAGCCTGGGCTAGAGAGTAACTTCCACCACACACTCTCTTTCTCTCTTACACACTCATATACATACAGACCCTCCCTCTTACACAGACACTTTCTCTTACACACATACACTCTCTCTCTTACACATACACCCTCTCTTTTTCTTACACACACACTCTCTTACACACACTTTGTTTCTCCCTTACAAGCTCTTTCTTTTGCAACACACACTCACACACCCTCTTACACTCTTTCTCTCTTAAACATACACTCATATATACACACTCTCACACACTCTTTTACACACATACTCTCTCTTACACACTCTCTTATGCACACATACTCTCTCACATAATATACTCATACACATAGACATACTACACAATTCTTTTCCTTTCCTCCCTTCCCACTGCCCCCCTCACACACACACACACACACACACACACACACACAGTCACAAAACTCCCCTAGGCCCTCACCGTTCTAGGCTTTAATTGTCTGTTTACGTCTAACTCTCCAGACAAACTCTTTAATGTGGAAATAGACAGTTCAAAGCCACTCTGGAGAGCTTTGATTGCTTTAGACCCCCAAGGCTCATCTCTCTTTTCCTCGCCCAGTTCAAAGCCCACATTTGTAGGAACCTCCTTCTGGAGACACATGTCCAGAGACTTGGGGGCTTTGCTGGTTGACTCACTAGCTGTTCCCATGAGGGTGCCAGGGCCTTGAACCCAGGCTACTGAGAGGGCAAGTGGCCTTGCTAACTCCCTGCTTCCTCCAGGTGGAGTGTGGGCAGTCCTGGTGTAATACACTAGTTCTCTGAGTGTGCATGGGCTAAGCTGGGCTCCTGCCTGGTGTCCACTCAAAGAGTGAATAAACTAGGTATAGTAATGCACACTTATAATCCCAGCCCTTGAGTAGGAGCATCAAAAATTCAAGGCCAACCTGGGATACGTAAGCCTCTATCTCAAAAAAGTAAAGGCTGGGGAAGCGGTTTGGTGGTTAAGACACGCACTGTGCAAGCATGAGGATCTGAGTTCAAATCCACAGAACTCTTGTGGGGAGCACAGGCAGGAAGATGGCTGGGGCTTGCTGGCTGCCAGCCCAGGCAGGAAAACAGTGAGGGTCCTGATCTCAAGAGAGTAAAGTGAACAGTGCCAGAACATTTGATGTCTTCCACTGGCCTCTGCAAGCACATGCACGAGTGCACGTGTCACACACGTGTGCATGTGTCACACTCACACACATGCACTGAAATAATAAAATAAAACAAGAATAGCAAAATAAAATGTAAAAAGAAGGCTAGTGGTAATGAAAAGCAGAGAGGGGATTTGGCCGGTTCACACTGGGAAAGGCAGCCGATAAAGGGCTGTGTGACCCCTAAGGCCATCTCTGGTACCCACGAGCTCTTCTTGGCTTAAAATGAGGGGTTAAGGCAGGGAGGGAGAGCCATGTATAATTAAGCAGTCCTGGTCAAGGCGATGTCTGGTTCTGCGAAACGGTCCAAGGAAGCCCTTGTCACTTGAGGGGACAGGTCAATTCTCAGAAGTGAGCTATTTCAGCTTCAAGCTGCAGCTCCTCTTTGAGGATAACTGTTCATCTGGACTTTGGCAGGGGCTTTGTCCTGCTCTTTGTAGAATTCAAGGTGATTGTAAGTTTAGTTTTTTAAAGATTTATTTTATTTTCAATTATGCGTGTGTGTGTGTGTGTGTGTGTGTGTGTGTGTGCGCGCGCGCGCACGCATGCGCGCGCACGGGTGCCAACAGAGGCCAGCTGCAGTTATAGAGCTGGAGTTATAGGAGATGGTGCACACGTTCTTGGAACTGAACTCTGTCTCCTAGCCACTGAGCTATCTCTCCAGCCACATGACTACAGGTCCACAATGACTGGAGCCACTGTGGGTTCTGGAACAGGAGGGTGTAGAGACTGACAGTAAGGTATCTCTGTGACTCTAACCTCACTCTTCATAAACTAGATAAGGAATCACCAAGTTTTAGATGGATGCTCCTGAGGGATTAATGAACCTACAAGCAGAGGTGGCAGCTGACCCAAGTAAAGGATGAGAGAAGGCAGAGATAACAGGCTTTCAGCCTGCTTTTACTTAGTTACCTTATGGGCCCAGGTGAGGAGTCTGTGCTTTCAGCAAATGAAGTTTAGGGTGTCTAATTACTTTGTTTTGTTTTGAGATACTGGGGATTGAACTATAGTAAGTACTCTACTCCTGAGCCACACACCCAGACCCTCACTGGTGGATCTAGGTGGGTGCTCTACCCCTGAGCCACACCCCCAGCCCCTCCCTGGGGGATTCTGAGCAGGTACTCTACCACTGAACTACATTCCTGGTTCCTTATTACAGGGTGGGGGAGGGCTCTAGGCAAATGCTCTACCACTCAGCTCCATCCCCAGCTCTCTTTTTACTTTGTATTTTGAAACAAGATCTCACTAAATTGCTCAGGCTGGTCTTGAACTCATTCTATAGTCCAGCCTGAGCTACAACTTTCCATCCCTTTGCCTCAGGCTCTGGAATAGCCGGGATAACAGGTATGTGACACCTGGCTCAGCTTTAAGTGTCTGTTACAGTAGGATCAGGAGAACAGGTGATTTGAGCATTGTCATCCACCCCCACTTCTGTCCCCAGGCTCAAACTGGAAATCATTTAGCAAGAATGACGACACCCAGCCCACTTCCAGCTCCCCACTTGACATATTGGACGGAATCATATGACTTGCATGGAGCCTTCTCTGCACCACATACACACACACACACACACACACACACACAATCCCTCCTTCCTACCCCAGGGTGTTCCACATCACTGGCTTATAAACAGGTTTTAAGAACAAGGACTCTCTTTCTCCTCTCCATAAAACCCTGTCACCCCGACACATAAAACAGATTAAAGATGGAGTGATAAACACTGAATATTAACACAAGCAGAAGAATGAGGATGTATACAGTATCCGAGGCTGAGACCAGACAGCACTTTACAAAGGGAAAGCAAGAGAGGGAGGTGGTTCTCTGGTTTAACTTGGTAGATTGAATGCACATGTTCCCTTAGAGCGGAACCGGAGGTAAAGGGGGAGAAATATGGCAGAGTGAAAAGTCTGAGGCTATCTCGGCAAATGCCTGCCGCCAGTAACATCTTGTGAGATGGAATGTAGTCTGGTTCATCCTTTGCAAACCAATGAGAGCCAGGTCACAGCCATTAGGCTCAGTTGAGGTTGGAGCAGAGAGGGATGGGTCCTCTCAGGGACTGAACCAGCAAAAGCAAAGGACCATGGACACTGGAGTTTAGGGAGGCCACTGATGAAACACTGGGTCCCAAGAGACCTGAGGGTTTGTGCGTGTGTTTGTGTGTGCATGTGCGTGTGCATGTGTGCGTGTGTGTGTGCTTGCATGTGTGTGTAAATCAGGGTCTGAAGCATGAGTAGGGACCCCTAGAGGATTCCTGGTGTCTCTTCCCTCTCTCAGAGCCAAGGATTCCTGGGCCCTTTAAAGGAATCCCATAACAGGATGGGCAAGAACCAAAAGGCGCACAGAACCATCTGTCTAGTGTCTAGTCCTCTTTACCCATCTGTCGTTCATCTCCCATGCACCTTCATCCATCCCGCAGTGAAGTCCCTATCCATGCCCACACATGCCCCACCTCACCGTCTACCCATCCCCTACTTACTCCCTACCAACCTCCTATGCATCTCCCACCCATCCATCATCTGTCCCCTCACCCCCCACACCTTATCCCCTACCCATCCCATCCCCTATTCACCCCTGCCTACCCCCTACTTTCCCCTCATCTACCCCCACTATTCTTCCCCATCATCTTCTACCTATCCCTTCACCCATCTCCACCCATCCCTATCCTCCTCCCCCCCTCTTTGGCCCACACCCACCCTCCTTATCCCCCACTGTCTTGCAACTCACACCCACCCTAACCTCCCAATCATGTCCTTACAAGATGCCTATAGATCCCAACCCACCTGGAGGCTCAGCAAAATCCCGGTGGAACTGCTTTGTGGAGTTTGTCAACTCTAATGGCTGAGTAGCAGGATGGAATATATGTGTAGGGGCTCTTTAGTTTCCCAGCAGCCACGACCTTGGGCAGTTGGGACAACTTTGTACTTTTTCACTTGGGATGCATTTTTATGTAGTCCAGGCTGCCCTTGACTTCCCTGTGTAGCCAAGGATGACTTTGAACCCCTGATCCTTCTGCTCCACCTCCTAAGTGCTGGAACTAAAAGCATACACCACCACACCCTACTTGGACGTGGTTGCAGAAGTGATTTTCACCTCGAGCCTTGGCACCCTCTGCCCAGACTGAGCGGTCCCCACCCCACCCCAGGGGGGCACCTCAAAGAGCCAGAAGGCCACAGTGGACCTGGGTTGTGGTAAGTTAGTGCCTTGCTCCCTTCCAGGTCTCTGGGCGGGCGCACATTCCT